CATGGCAGGAACTGGAGAGAAGGGTTCGAGAAGCACGTACCTCCCGGCCTTACCTGCAGGAAGACGGACACCCAGCGGAAGTTCACCTTCGCGAGCGGCTCCAAGCAGAAGGGCGACGTCTACGTGATCCCGATCGGCATTGGAGGATTCAGAGGAGAGGCGCGCTCGACCGAGATCCCGACCGGGACGACTCCACTGTTGATCGCCATACCTGCCCTGGACATGTTAGACGGCCACATTCACATGAAGGCGAAGAATCTGGAGCTTTCGGCATTGGGAATCACAGTACCTCTGATCAAGATGAAGGATACGACACACCTAGGTATCGATGTATCGCAGTTCGGAGACGACCAAGATGCGGTACTACAACGCATGGAGCTCAAGTCGTCCCGGGGCGACGCGATCGTGCACCTTGCGACGTGCATGGACGTGGTCAAGGCTGGCTACGCTTATTTGGAGAACGACGATTGCGACGATGAGGAGTCTTGCGACACTGTCACGATAGATGCAATTCGTCGCCAGGGCGCGAGCTCGAATGTTGAAACTGACCAGAAGTCGGAGATTTCCTTGGCAGCGAGGGGCGCGCGCAAGTCAGATACGAGAGGCGAGCTCACCAATCGAAGAGCACAGGAGTTGTCAACTACAGCTTCGAGGATAGCAGCTCAGGAGAAGCGGACTTGGGCGACGCCTAAGAAGGAGTATACGCTCGCAGAAAGAATGGCCACATCAGGGTTCAAAAAGACGATGATATTCGAGCCTCGGGGCGGCAGCTTTATCGTTGCACGAGTGGCATCAGGAGATTTTGGTTGGGCGAATTCGCAGCCGCTGGATAAGATAGACGACTGCGACCTGATGACCAGGGAAGGCGAGGACTTGCTCTTCGAGGTCCTCGACGAGCACGACCCGCACCTCGCGATCACTGCCTTCGATTGCCGCATATGGTCAGTTATGGCGAACATGTGCCCGACGGTGGATTGGGAGACTCTGCGAGGGACTTACGGAGTTCGAGTGCTCATGTTGGTGAAGCGCATTTGCTTACACCGCTATATAAGGCATCGATATTTTCTAGCAGAACAGCCGTGGTCAGCAGCTTCCTGGAAGTACAAGAACATCTTGGCTGAGTTCAACGCGCTACCGAATGTCTGGTTTGCTTGTGGAGCTCAGTGCGGTTTCGGCAAGAAGGACATCGACTGCGGCAAGCCCATCCAGAAGCTGACCTGCTACCTCACGAACAGCCAGCGCGTTCTCAACCAGCTGGCTATCCCCTGCAAGAGCAAGACTGCTCACGAGATGGTGGAGGGCAACAGCTCCGCCGGGAAGAGAGCAGCTGAGGCAGCGGCCTACCCTCCGAGGATGGCGACGGCGATCTGCGAAGGAGTGAAGCAGCAGATGGAGATCGACAGCGCCGCCGCACTCGCCAACGGACATATGGAGTCGAGCTTCCCTGTGGACGACGAGGTGGTCACCGAGCCGCCATCCAAGAAGGCTCGACGAGGAGCGAAGCTACTCGGAGGGACAGGCGGACTCAAGCGGAGAGTTACACGCGAGGGCGGCTGGCTCAGCATGGCCAAGGAGAAAGTCGACAAGGTAATGGAGATTTTCAGTAGTTTCGTCGGCTTCCCCACGCCCCCCACCTTGCTGTGGCCTTCGGTGGACAAGAGGGCCGCCGAGATTGCCAAGCTCGAGGAGGCGTCCGCCAGCGTGAAGCTGATTATGATACGGCGGAATCCACGTTCTCTGCTCGCAGTGGCGCCTCATTTGCACGCTTCTCAGGCACCTATGCGGACTGCCTACGCTCGGTCTGAGCGTGGCGTGTGGTCCGAGCTCGGCTGGGAGGATTGGACCAACCTGTCACCGCAGCAGCGGGTGATGAAGATCGCCGGGGCCGACCTACTCATCATGGTGCACGGCGCGCAGATCGGCGAGGCAGAGGGCGACGAGCAAGATAAGGAGACTATGAGAAAGCAGCGATGGAGCACTGCGAACGCACGAGGCGACCGCTGCTGGCGAAGCCGAGCAAGTTGCCGAGCGTCGACGAGGTCAACGTTGTCGTAGGCTTCGACACCTTTGCCGAGAAGGACGCAGACCAAGCAGAGTGGCAGTTTCTGAATATTGTCTACTTGGGATGTTCGTTTCAGGTGGTTGCTTTGCTTGGCGAAGTTCACGTGATGACGGACTCAGTCACGGTGCTGGAGACATACGAGTTGTGCTGGGCATCTTGGGCTGGTGAGCCTGAGGTTGGAGTCATCGTCGACAGGGCCAAGGGCTTCCTGGGCAGTTTTTCGGAGCACATGTCGAGTCGTGGGTGCAGATTTGATTCAGCCGCCAAGGCGGCAGCGTGGCATATCGCCAAGGTCGAGCGTCACGGAGACCTCTGGCAAGCCATGTGGAGGAGAGTCGTCTGGGCAAAGCAGGTCGCTGGGCGCGAGGACGTCCTGAAGGCCGTGATGGAGATTAACCAGGCGAAGAACTCGCTGAGCAGGAGGTCTGGCTTCTCACCGGCGCAGTGGGTGCTGGGAAGAGATATTCGCCCCCCAGCAGACCTCATGGACGACGGCGAGGTTGAGAGGATCGGTGCCATTGCGGCATCGGCTACCCCGACATCGAAGTTTGCCAGGAAGTGCGCGCTGCGGCAGGCGGCGCGGGAGGCCCACGCGAAGATCGCCAACGAGGACGCGATCAAGAGGGCCGAGCTTCGACAAGTTCGACCAGAACGCGGACCTTTCAACGTGGGCGACTGGGTTTTCTACTACAACCAGAAGGAGCAGGGCAAACGGCCCGAGAGCGTTATCAATTGGAGAGGAGTCGCACGCGTGATAGGTCACGAGGGTAAGCACGAGATCTGGATCGTGCACCGCGGGATCGCGATCGCCTGCGCCCCCGAGCACCTCGCCAAGGCTTCCGACGAGGAGGTCCGAGCATGGCTGGTGACGGCGCAGGAGGCGGACTTGATAGACACCACCAGGACGGCTGGAGGCAGTGGATTTATCGATCTACGACGACGGCCTCTTCCTCCAGAGTTTCGAGAAGATGGAGGACCAGTTCAACCAGAACCAGCGGCGGCTCAGCCACCGCCAGAGGCACCGCCACCAGAGGTGCCGCAGCCGGCAGAGCGCGAAGCACCTGCCGAGCCACTGGTCCAAGAGGAGGAGCCGCCCGCGGAGGAGGTGACGGAGGACCCCTACCAGGAGGGGCTCCCGATGATGCAGCAGGGGCCGCCGCCGCCAATCGAGCCACGAGGAGCGACACAAACGGAGGGCCCGATGGAGGACGCGGTGAAGGATTTTGTCAACGAGGCTGTCCGTTCCGATCATGTGCCGATGGGCGACTAGTGGGATCCTGATCTTGACGATTTCCACACTCCGGCGGCGTCATTCCCGCCTCGCCCGGCGGAAGGAGCTGCTAGCAGGTGCAAGGAGGGTCGGCCAGCGGGGGCAGCTGCAGAGCGGGAGGCGAAGAGACAGAAGTTGCTGGACGACGTCCCCGAGTCGATCAAGATGGACGACGCCTTTCAGGTCCACGAGGATGAGGACTCTATGATTAACGAGGCCTACTCAACATATGACGTCAACCAGTCCTTCTACGCCGAGCACGAGGTCAGCAAGGAGGTTTTCGCCTTCGGCGTTGAGCGTAAAGAGTTCGAGTGCTCCTATGAGGCTGGCTCGACAGTGGCGAGGAAGGGGAGAAGGGAGTTACACTTGAAGGAGCTCGACGAGGCAAAGCGTCAGTTATTCATCGGACCTGGAGGTTCGGATGAAAAGGAGTGGAAGGCCTGGCATGATCTGGATGCCTGCGATGCGCTGAGCCTCGGCGAGAGCGAGCAGATCTGGGAGACCAAGCGCGACCTGATCATGCCGGCCAAGTGGGTGAGAACCAACAAGAGCGAAGGCGTTTTGGACGCCGACTTCGAGGCGAAGTCGAGGATGGTGGGCTTCAAGGACACGAGCCTCGGCGAGTACCAAAGAGATGCGCCAACAGCGTCGAAGTTGGCGGAGGCTATGGTGTTGCTCGTGATCGCCAGCATGGGCATGGTTATGAGCTGCGGAGACATAAAGAATGCCTAGTTTTCAGGTCGGGGTATAGGACGCGAAATCTATATCAGTCAGCCGCGTGGAGGTCTAAAGGGACTGCATCCGAGACAACTATTGAGGGCCAAGAAGACAATATGGATTCGCTGAGGCTGCTCGTCTATTTTGGCTGGCTTTCTGCGAAGTGTTCGAGAAGGACGGATGGGTTCAGTCTGTTTTGGAACCAGCTCTGTTTTACTTCCGTGACAAAGCAGGCGCTTTGGTGGGTATTCCATGCACTCACGTGGATGATTTGCTGGCTGGAGTTCTAAAGAAATACGAAGATACGGCCTTCAGATGCACGAGACAGAAGCTGAATTGCTCGAAATGGCTCAAAGAGGATTTCGTTTTCAGAGGACGTGAGATACCGCGTTTACCTAACGGCGATGTTGGAGTAACGATGAAGGGCTACTCGCTGAACATGAAGACGGTTCCGATCCCTCGAGACCGGGAGAAGGAGCTGACGAGCCCGCTCACCGACGACGAAGCGACACGGCTACGGAAGGCTACGGGAGAGTTATCTTGGTTGTCGCGGCAACTTCGAGCATATCTAGCCTTTTCAAGCGGGACAGGCTCAACGAGCCATGGTAGCGCCGTGCATCGCCGACCTGGTGAAGGTCAACAAGGCCATCAACGACGGCAGGAGAGGCGCCGACTATATGCAGAAGTTCCCGAAGGGTATCGGCCTCAGTCGAGCTACGGTCTTGATTTAATGCGATTCAGGACATGCGAACGGCAACCCCGAGAGTGACGAGATCGCCAGGTACAAGAGCATCGGTGGCCATTTCCTCTTCATAGTGGACCACGACGTGTTGTCGGGGAAGCTGGCGACAGCAGCTATGATGGATTACAGCTCCAAGTCGACACAGAGAGTTTGCCGGGGCACACTTGCAGCTGAAGCCTCACACCTTGCAGATTCACTGGAAGCTGGTGAGTGGTTGTGTGTTTTACTTGAAGAAGTGTTCAACCCGAGGATCGACTTGAAGAACTGGCAGAAGATCGTGGCGAGAAGAATCAGGGTTTTCTTGACTGATGTCAAGTCGGTGCATGATTATTTGACGAAAGAAGGATCAGGCCTTAGTCGAGACAAGCGGATGGCGATAGAAGGAGCTTTGTTGAAAGAGGCTTTGAGGCAACCAAACGCGACACTACGGCGGGTGGATGGACTGCAGAACCTTGCGGACATTCTGACGAAAGAGGGAGTTGATCTGGAGTATTTCCGACATTACCTGAGAACGAACCAGATTACGATTCAGCAGGACCTGGCTGCAGTGAAGATAAATGAGAAGAAGAGATCACAGCGAGCCGCGCGGAAGTCAGTTGCTAAACCCGATCGATCTGAAGCTGATCGACTACGATGTGAGCGATCGGCCGCTGGAGTTCGAGATGAAGACTTGCAGGATGGCTGAGATGGTCAGAGATACAAAAGAAAAAGAATGAGTCTGAGATTCCCTGGAGGTGTACCCGAGGACCCCTCTGGAGCCCGCCTAGCACTGACCCTCTCCTACCAGTACCTTGTCTACTTGCCCCGCTGAGTGCACCTGCCTCTGCCTCCTCACCCGTTACCCGCTGCCCGTCTCGGCCCGCGGGCCGGCCGTAGAGCTTGTTGTGCTGGGCGCCTGGCGCCCCCGCAGTTAGCTTGTGGCCCGCGCGGTGCCGTGGATGCGATAAACAAGCTTATCATTGACATCTACCATACGCTTTCAGAGCTCGCATGACGGCCCTGCTGGCGCGGTGCGCACACTGAGTGCATTGCTGAATATGTTCCCCAAGAGTTGGAGCGAATGAGAGAACAGAACAGCCCCAGGAGTTGGTGATGCATGGAGTTGGCGGGCGGGTACAAGGGAGAGGGAGAAACACACGAACGTCAACGCAGTTTGTGAGATCGCATGTTCGCAAGATGGTCGTCGTCGTTGTTGTCACCCTCGTCGTCCTCACCGTCGTCGTCGTCGTCCTCACCTTCGGCGTCGTCCTCACCCTCGTCGTCGTCCTTACCGTCGACGTCGTCGTCGTCGTCGTCGTCGCCCTTGTCGTCGTCGCCCTCGCCCTCGTCCCCAGTCTTCCCTCCGAGGGCCTCCGCAGCGTGCACGTGCGCCACGTGGCCTGCAGCGGGCACTACTCCTGCGCCAGCCGCCGGGGGGCCCGCAGGGAGGCACCAGCTGCGCGCTGCATCCGAGGGGGCGGGCAGGGGCAGACTTGCGACAACTCTGGGATGGTGGCGTCTGTTTTGGGCGGCGTCGAAGAGGGGGAGGGACGTCTATGGGGCTGGGTGGATTTCATGGCATATCGCATCTTTCATGCCCCCATATTATTATCCTTATTTTTCCTCAATTTCTGTCAGGTCGTTTCCTGGCCCACCTTCTCCACGCACACGTCTGGGACAATAATTCGCTAGGCTTCCTCACCCTGGGCTCCCACACCCCACTCTTCGGCGCACCCGATCATTGCCCCCCTTGGGGGAGTCTTCGGCCTTGATGGGTTCCCCCAGTGTGGGCGTTGTGCCTGTTTGGCCAGGGATGCGGCAAGAGGAGGAGATGTGGAGGAGGAGAGAGGAGGCCACGGCCTAGCTCCTCGCGTGGAGAGGAAACGCGACGCACGGTTTTGCCCGATCGGGGATGGAGAGCAGCAGCGGGCTGGAGCAGGGGTTCAGGGGAGGACAAGGCCAGGCGTCGAAAAAGAAAAAAAACACCCCTACCCCCTTACATGTTGCTTACTAAGCGGCCCTGGGCGTTTACTAAACAGCCCTGCTCTGCTGGATCCAGGCCGCAGAGGTGGTTACGAAATTGCCTGGCGTGTGGGGGTGCTTGCTGTGAGGGCGTTTTTTTTTTGCCCAAGGCAGGCCGATGACAAGGGCTGGTAGTCGCCCCAGGCCGTTCTGGAGTGCCCCCCAGAGCGTTCGGACGGCCGCCGCTCCCGAGCCATCCTCCAGACCAGCTGGCCTTCAGGGATTGCCGATTCACGCCAGCCTGAAGTTGCCACTGTCCTGCCGTCGTCTCCTGGAGGGTTCAAGCCCAATTTTTTGCGCGACGCATTCCTTAGCAGTGCCAGCGCTGCTGAGCCTGTGGAGGGGTCAGAAGTCCTCTGGGCATTCTGGAGACCTCCTGGGGACCCCCAGAGACCGCTGGAGAATTCTGGAGGCCTTCGGAGATCCCCTGCGTCTTGGCGGATGGCTCGGTGGAGATGCGTGTGCCGTGTGCCTTCTTCTGGTTCCCCGGCCGTCTCCGAGGGGGGCGAGGTGTACACCTGGGGCTGCGGGAAGGACGGGCAGCTCGGGCACGGGGACACGAAGGACGCCATCGGAGAAGGGCCCTGGCAGCCACACGGCCAGCGAGGGACAAGCAGCCCGATCGGTTCGCACCGCGTCGACGCGCTAGCGACCTCAGCGCGGGTGTTGTTCACGTTTGAACGCCACCAGTGCCAGTGGCGTGGATTCGAGTGACATCGAACGATCTGCGCAATCGGAAAGCCGCCCTGGTTCCAGGTTGAGCGATCTTCGCGGTGTCGGAAGCCGACCGTAGTTTCCTCTCGCTGCCCCGCGTCACCCGCAAGGGGCGCTTCGCGCCCGGCGGCCTGGGCCGAATGGCTGCCCTCGTCCATGGGGTCGGCTCCAGAGCGCGAGGTTGGGTGACCTGGGCCTCTCCAGGCATCCCAAATAGGGTCCGAGTAGATGGGGTCAAAGGATCGCTCGGCATCGCCGATGCATCGACGATGTGTGTCGATGCGGAGCCGGGATGCTTCCGAGCCGATGGCGCTAATGCATCGCCGCAGTCGCTGATGCATCGCCGCTGTGTCGCCGATGTATCGACGGTGCATTGGCGATGCGGCGCGATCTTCCCACCCCATCTACTCCGACCCTCTTAGGGAGGTTCATAGCCTTTCAGCTCTGCTGGCGGATGTTGGTTTTGTGCCGCCAGTCCCTTCCTGGCTGCTTGGGCCCATTTGCGATGGAGGACGCATATATGCCGAAGGCAGTCCGGACACTCCAGTCAAAGCTGATCCGCAACGTGTCCTGCGCGGAGCACCACGTGGCCGCCGTCTCCGAGAGCGGCGTGCTCTTCACGTGGGGCAAGGGCCAGAACGGTCGCCTCGGTCACGGGGGCGCCGACAACGAGCTGCTGCCGAAGGCCGTGGAGGCCCTGGTCGGCCACCACGTCGTCCAGGTCTCCTGCGGCGACTTCCACACCGCCTGTGTGATCCTGAACCCGCCGCACGTCTACACCTGGGGTCTGGGGCTGTCCGGGCGGCTGGGCCACGGCAACGAGGCCGACTGCCACCTCCCAACCCCTGTCGAGGCGCTGGCGAGCGTGCAGGTCGGGTTCGTGGCGTGCGGGGGCCACCACAGCGCCGTGATCGTAGAGCCCACCGGCCAGCTGATGACCTGGGGCGGCGGCGCGTTCGGGAAGCTCGGGCACGGCAACAGGCTGGCACAGACCACCCCGAAAATGGTTGCCGCTGTCCAGAACAAGAAGTTGGTGCAGGTCTCCCTGGGGCCTCACCACGCCGCTGCCCTGACACAGAAGGGCGAGGTGTACACCTGGGGTCAGGCTGGCCGTCTCGGACACGCGTCGCAGGGCGCAGAGGTGGACGAGATGGTCCCGCGTCAGGTGATGGCCCTCAGCCAGGTCCGGCCGCGCACAGAAGGGCGGCCGGGGGAAGGCGAGGGTGGCAGGCGAGGGTGGTGGCAGTCTAGAGGAACCCTCACCCCTTCGCGTCGTTACAGGAATATAACGGAAGGTTCTCACCGTTTTCGGTCTCCCGGGGCCCTTTACCAGGCCCCGGGACCATCAAACCAGGCTTCGGGACGAACGGCCGCGCTGTGGGAAAGGGTCGGGTCTTCTGGGGACCCCGCGCAGACAATAGTACATGCGTCGAATATTCGGGTTAAACGGGTTGGGAGACTTCCTGGAGGTTACTACCATCTCGCCTGGCCCCGCCCTGTTTCTGTCCAGACCCCCGGACCAGAGTTTCAATTTTTCCACCGAGGGAGCCGATGTCCGAGCACCCCCGGAGGCAGCTGGTTTGGACACTTGGGCCCCAGGGGGTAGCGCAATGATATCCGCATTCATAGCCCTGGCATCGTTCTCATTGATGGTATTTTCTTGGCGAGGCCAGCGCCAGACAATCTGGAGCATCTTGGAACATCTTGCGAAAACTAAGCACGCACGAAACCGACACATGCGCGGGGAATGGACGTCAGAATCCCCGCCTCGCACCGATCTGCTCACGAGCAGTCCCGTGCCCTACCCTGGGGCTTGCACAATTTCCAGACCGCGCCTTACTGTGGCGACGTAGGAGCCAGCCCCGGAGGCCAGGGAATACCCAACAATTGCTACAAATTTGTTGCGTCAGTCAGGAGGAGGGCGTGGCGGCCTGTGACGAAGCTGTTAGCGCTTGCCTGGGTGAAACAGTTCCTAGTGCAGAGCCAGGTGGCAGTAGCAAACATTCGAATGAGAGCTTCCTCGCGGCCGAGAGGTATTCGTCCTGCAGGTGTCCTGCGGCCACAGCCACTGCGCCGTCGTCACCGAGACGGGGGACGTCTGGGCATGGGGCTCCTCGCGGGCGTTCGGCCACACCGAGCCCAGCGCCGTGGTCGGTCTGCCGCCCTGGGGCCCAGGGCCAATGTTGGAGTCGGCTGGGGGTCTGAGGTGGCCAAGCACTGGTTCGATGTTCTGGATTCGCAAATGGTGTTTCGCCTTGTTAGACCTCTGGAGGGCGTTTGGGGGTCCCAGGACCGTGAGAAACGGATTCGGGACGGCAAATTACGCCTGATGGACCCCGGGAGGGGTCCAGGGACAGATTTTGAGCGGATTTGGTTTCACCCCCCTCTTGACCGATTTTCTGGGGTCCCAATCAGTTTCGACACCCCGGCCGCCTCCATGGCCCATGCCCCTTGCACGGGGCTGATCGGTGTATTCGTGATGCGGCACGATCAGGACTTCCCAGCTGCTCTGGCTTAGTTCGGGAAACCTGTACAGGGGGCCAGGATACGCGAAACGGAGCGTCCGGAGGCCAAGACAAAACCAGCCTCGTTCGTTCTCCAGGAGGGCTGCGCGAGGGTGCGAAGATAATCGCATTTTGCGAGGCACGAGGTCATATGACATAGGTGTGGTTGTTTGTGCCCCCTCTATCTGAGGTCTTAAACGGTTCAAACTGAAGTGCTCCGGTGGGGGTGACGCGTGTCCCAGGCCGGCTGGAACATTTTACCCTCTATCTCGGCACGGTCCTACTCGGAAGACATAATTTTTGTTGATGCTCCGCGTATCCCCGCCAGTCTCGGCTCGAGCCCGCCCCCGCCAGGTGCGCGCCGTGCCGAGCCCGACATGTCAGCCGCCTGCGCCGTCACCGGCGCTGCCCTGCGGCGACGGCAGCGGGTTGCTGCTGCCGCCCGCGGGCCGCCGGGGCTGGCCGCCGCCGCCGCCGCTGCGCCTGCGGCGGCGGCTGGCGGCGGTGGCCTGCCCGCCGATGCTCTCGCCGCGGCCGCCGCTGCCGCCGCCGCCGCCGCCGCCGCGGCCGCCTGAGGGTTGCCACTGGCGGCGGCCGCGGCGGCTGGCGTCGCGGCTGGCGTCGCGGCTGCCGCGGCCTCCATGCCCGGTGGCAGTGCCGCCCCTGCCGTCCTCGCCGCGGCTGCTGCCACTGCCGCCGCTGCTGCCGCCGCCGGCTCGTCGCCGGCGGCGGCGGCGGCGGACGGCACGGCGGCCGGCCTTGCGGTGTCCGGCAGCACTGGCTCAGCTGGGGGCAGCTGGGGGCCGTACACTGGATCCCCGCTGCGCGTCATCGAGACCATCGACCCCGCGGCGGACATTGCGAACGACCGCCTTGCCAGGTTGGCGATCCTCGGCATGCTCTTCCAGAACTGCTGGATTGGCTCCGCCCGGGGCGATGGGGCGCCGTACACTGGATCCCCGCTGCGCGCCAGCAGCGTCGAGAGCGAGCTGGGCGTTCAGGTCCCCTCGGACCTTTGGGGCCCTGCTGGCTGCACAGCGGATGGCTGTGCGGAGGATCCCGCTCACCACTGGCAGGCAGAGCTGAAGAGCGGCCGCGTGAGCATGCTTGCGACCTCCCCCGTCACGGGACCAGGAGCTCAGAATTTCGAGGCGGATCCAGCCGTGGTGTCCAGGACGACTGACGACCATCAGGAGGATTCTGACACGGCTGAAATGGGGCCCGTTACGCCAGAAGGGAACGCGATTTCGATATTACCGAATCCCCGAAGTGAAATGGGGCCCGTCAGGCCAGATGCAAATCGTGGCGTCTCGAGTCCCGGCCCCGTCCCCGACGACCGCCCTGAGCACGGACCACCTCAACGCCCCCTGACGACGACAGACGCACATCCGGAGGACCCTGCCACGCACAACGACATATCGGAGCATTGCAGCAGCAGCGGCGACGTGCCACCCCCCGTTGCGTCAACTGGCGATGACGTCCCAGAGGGGAATCGAGAGGCGGTTGGGGCAGAGGTCACGACACCACCCCCCGCATCGTGGTCAGACGGTGACGTCCCAGTGGGGGTTCGAGAGGAAGTAGCCTGCAGTGACGAGCGTACAGCTCACACCAACGACCCTCCCCTTCAGCTGTGCCAGCAGGCCAGAGGAACGGAGCGGGAAGTCACGGCGGAGACGGCGGTGGCTGCGGAAGCCGCGGAATTCCCCCCTTCAGGACAATCAGTCCGTCATCTCCATGGGATATACCATTCCTTCCCCCCGCAAGGGGTCAGGCCGTGAGTGCGTTGCTCCAGCCGCAGGTTCCACCCAGCCCCCAGAGGCCGAGAACGGGGCTCCCGTAGGGAACCAAGAGGCGTCCTTGGACGAGGCGTCTGGAAAGAGTCAACTCTTGCCCATGGAAGTGGACTGCGCTGGCCACCCACCAAGGGGGCAGGCAACCATACCCCCCCTTGCAGCGATGGGTGATTCACCTCGGAGTCCGCTAGGCGACGACGGAAGAGTGGGCTCCGAGCAGACAGCGCTGTTCCAGAGGCCCGTCCTTCCCTCGCCCTCCTTCGATGCATCGGTGACTGCGGATTTCGGCTGCGCCCCCCAGCAGCGCCAGCAGGACAGAGGAATGGATGGGAAGTCGCGGCGGAGACGGCGGAGGCTGCGGAAGCCGCGGAATATCCCCTTCAGAGCTATCAAAGCGTCAGCGGTCCTCTGGGAGCGCCACGCACCAAGCAGGGTGACCACGGAACAACCATCCATACGCAGGACAGCGAAGCCATCCGCTGGCTCGTCGGGAGAAACCCCTTCGCGCCTATTCGCCCCCCTTCCCCTGTCAGTGAGCTCCTTATGGATGGCGAACCCCAGGCGCCCTCGCCAGGCGCCCAGGGCACCACTGACAAAGCAGCTCGCGCCCCGGCTATGGAGGTTGCGCCGCAGAACGTGCGCGCGCCCGGCGCAGCCCATGGCGCCCCAGAGAACGGTGAGAGTCATGCGCTGTCCAAAGGGGTCACAGGCCCGAAGGCGAACGCCAGCGAAAGGGACCCTTCCCCACGTGCCACAATGCCGCGTCTGCCCTGGCCGCCGGACGCGCTCCGACCCAAGCCTGGCGGCCAACTTTGCGACCGGCATTTCCCCGCAAAATTCTGCCAGGCGCGCAGCTGGAGTTGTCGCGAGCAGATCGCGAGCCCCCCAGCCAGGACAACGAGGCCGGCACGCTGGATATTTGCGGCCGTGATACACGGCGGCACCAGGGGCCCGACCCGCATCAATGGCCAGAGCCCAAGGGCCCCAGCTGTACAAAACAGGAATCAACAACGTCCAGTGGGGCCTCCCCGGGGAGGCACCCGGCGAGGCGATGCGACGACTCCAACTCACACTGGGACCAATGTTCCTTGGCACTTGGCACGCTTTCGCCAAGCGGCAGTCTGTGCCGGGCAGCAAGGGCGCGCTCGACCCGCTTCGGCACGACCCGCAAACCTGCCGCCTCTTCCTGGAATCCTTCCGCAGCCACAAGGGCGACGTACGGGTCCTCGGCGAAGCGCTGGGCCTCGACGTCGATTGGACGTGGCCGCGGCAGCTGCGCTTGGGTCCGAGCGGCGGTGTGAGCAGCGGTCACCATGCGGCAAAGGGCCACCCGAGCAAACAGGCCCCCAGGAAGCACAGAAGACAGTGGTGGGCCGTCTCCCCACAGTAGCCTTGCTACCCCCTCGTGGCATCCCTGCGAGTTGCTACCATGGTGTGTGTCTCGATTTCTGTTTCGTTCAGAACTTGTTCTTCTCATCTTGGCTGTTGTCTACGTGCTGCGTGCGTGGCTATACCGTCGGCCTCAGTTTTTCTCCCCCCTGTCTGCGCGCTGCGCTTGTGGCTATACCGTGGACAGTTTGCTTTTCTACTCTGAGATCCACCTTCTCTGTTGACTACGAGTTGTACGCCGTACTCATCAGCGCGATTGGGTTTCCCATGCATCTCCCCTCTTGGTTCTGACTGGCTGTCGTCGGACGTGCCGTGCTTCTCCTTCGGAGGAAACGCGTTGTGTGGGTGACGAATTGACAGGCCCCCCCGGAGCGGAAGATACGCTCATCCATAGTATGTCGGAAGAGACACGCCGTGAGGGTGACGAATTGATTGGTCCCCCCCCCCCGGAGCGGTCGCAATAGGCAAGCAATGAATATTGGTATTCCTAACGCTTCCGGTACCCCCATCACCACAGCGCTCGTGCGACCCTAATAACAGGCCCCGCCCTGCCCCCTGTGGCTGGGGATGAGGTATTGGTACGGAACCGTGAGAGGGCAGTGGAGGATGTGCCTGGAGAAAGGCGAGCGGAACCCATGGAAGGCGGCAGCGCAGACCCCCCGCCAGGTGGACTGGTGAGCAGGCCCCCACCCGCGGTGACTGAAGATCGTCCACAGGGAGCGGTGGAGGGATCAAACTGAGGAGACCCAGACCGGTCAGCACCGTCACAGAGGGCCGCCTCATCCTCCTCCTATTCCAATTCAGTGCGGCTCTTGGCTGCGCCTCCCTTCCTCCGCCCCTCCTCCTCCTCCTCCTGCTCCTCCTCCTCCTCCTCCTCCTCCTCCTCCTCCTCCCGCCTTTCGTTCACAAGTATTTGCGGCTTCTGGCTGCGCCCCCATGCGAAGTGTGATATGGTCGAGGAAGTGCTTCCGCCTTGGTTCGGCCCATGTGTAGATGCCCAGGGCACAGCGCCTGTGCCCAGCGGCACCAGGACACACACCCCATGGTCATTCACGAGCCTCTGCGGATCTTGGCTGCGCCCCCTGCGTTGTGAGAGTACCTCGTGACCTGTGACCTGACAGCGTCGACCACACCAGCGTGTCAGCTCAGCATAGATTGCCCGAGCCTGCCCCGACTGCGACGCTAACGCCGACGACGGTGCCGACGGCGACGCCTTATCCCCCCTCCTGCGACGCCAACGACGACGACGGGGCCGTCTGCGACGCCTGATCTGGCTTCGACAGTGGCGCCAGCGCCGACGACGGAGCCGACGGCGACGCCCTGTCCGTCTCCGACGCGCTCAGTCTGCGTGTCGCAGGGGCTCGTGTGCGGAGACGACGGCTGCGGCAATTCGCGCGGCCAGCGCACGTCCCCAGAGTGCTGCACGGGCAGCGTGGCAGGTGTGGTTCTGCGACTGATCCGACTCCGACGGCGACGCCAGCGCCGACGACAGAGCCGACTGCCTGATCCGGCTCCGACTGCGACGCCCGCGCCGTCGACGGAGCCGACGGCGACGCCGAATCCGACTCCGACTGCGACGCCAGCGCCGACGTCGGAGCCGACTGCGACGCCGCGACGCCTGACCCGGCTTCGACTGCGACGCAGCGCCGACGACGGAGCCGACGGCGACGCCCAACCCGACTCCGACATGCACCCCACGCTGCGTGTCGCAGGGGCTCGTGTGCGGTGACGACGGCTGCGGTGGCTCGTGCGGCCAGTGCTTGGTGCCAGATTCCCGGACGTCTGCGTCCCGAGCTTCTCCTGGCCTCCCGCCCCCCGGTGCTGGGCGACACGCTGCCCGTTTGCCCCCTTTGCGTGTCGCCGGGGCCGCCGCTGCGACTCGCTCAGCAGCATTCTCTGTGCGTGGTTTCTCTGATTGACTGGGGCGTGTGAGCAACAACCAGGAAAACAGTGGCCTGTGGAGTGGAGGTCCAGGGCGCCAGCGAAGTGTGCCCTGGCTGGGAACGGGACAGTGCTTTGGACGAGCCCAAGAGTGGAGGCCCTGGGCACGGTTGTCGTGCCACGGCACGTGGTGGCACCCCTCACCTTCATTCACCAGTCTGTGCGGCTCTTGGCTGCGCTCCCAGCGTTTCGAAGGAACATCATGACAGGGGAGCTGACAGTTCCAGCCACCCTTTCAGGTCCCCACAGCCCTCAGCGAAGTGTGCCTAGGTTGAGGACCGGACAGTGCCGTGGCACGGGCCAAACGTGGAGTCCCTCGGCACGGCGTCGTGCCAGCGATTTGGTTGCACCCCCACGTTCATTCACAAATATGTGCGGCTCTTAGCTGCACTCCCAGCGTTGTGTATGGACATCATGGCTGGAGAGCTGACAGGTTCAGCCACCTCAGCGGGCCACCGCGGCCCTCAGCGAAGTGGGCCTTGGTCGAGGACGTGCCAGTGCCGTGACACATCCCAGTGAGGAGGCCATGGACACGGCTGTTTTGACAGCGGCCCTTGGGTGCACCCCCCCCCGCGTTCTTTCACAAGTCTCTGCGGCTCTTGGCTGCGTTCCCAGCGTTGTGAAGGGACACCATGATGTGATTTCCCCCAGGTTCCCTGGTCGACACAACGCGGTACCTCGGCTGGTCGCCACTGCGTACGCTGTCATGAGGACGCGTGCGAGTGGCCTCCCCCCATGGCACCGCCGCGGCCGGCGGGCCTCCCATACCTGCGGGCCCGGCCTGCATGGTACGGTTCGGGACGACCCAGGTGCTGGGCTTCGGCAAGGTGCTGACCGGCGCACCTCACCGCTTCTGGTACCACCCGATGTCGGGCCTGGTTTGGGCGTGTTCTTGCGCAAGTGGTTCATCCTTTGGCAGGTCGCCGCGGATCCCCCAGCAGGTCCGTCATAGGTGTCCCGGCTTACGCTTTCGACTTTGCGCCCCCGGCCCCCGTGTCGGATAAGTTGCTCGCGGTGAATGCCGGCGACGTCGACGACAGGGTCCCTGACTGTGGTCGTCGCCTTCGCGTTCAAGCTCCTGCACAAATGGTTCATCCTTTGGCAGATCATCACGGTCCTCCTTGCAGGCTGGGCCAGGTGACTCGACCAGCGCTTGCAGCTTTACGCCCCCGATCCTCAGTGTCGGACAAGTTGCAGGCTGTGGGCTCAGACGACACGGTCGACTGTTCCTTGACTGGGTTCTGGTCCCTCTCATGCCCAAGAGCGTCCCTTGAATCACTGTGACTGAGGCTTCCATATGTGCCTCCTTTTCGTTTCATGGACGGTGCGGCCACCCCGGCCACTCCGTGCCGCCACAGCGCGGCGTGCTCCTCGCCCTTTCGCGCTGTTCGGTACGGTCAGAGCTTGGCGCCACGTGTGCGACTGCTCCATCCGTCCGTTTCCAGTTCTGTGCTTGCGTTCCCCGATTTCGGGCCGCCAGCGTCCTAATGAGGGCCATTTTGTCCCTGGCGCGCGCATCAGCTACAGCGGCCTATGCGCCTCTGCAGATAATTATCTCGCCCTGTGCCCCAGTCGAGTCCGTCCCGCTTTCTGGATCTGTCCTTGTGAGCCGCCAATCAAAAATATCCCCGCCAGTTGCGACTCGGCCTTTGTTTACTTCGCCTTCGCGACCACCATGCGTGAAAAGGGGTGTGGGCAGGCAACCCACCAACGTTCTCGCCTTTCTGAGTGGTCCACGCCACAGCGCGTGCACCGAATTCCCTGGCATTTTGCTATGGGATGCATGTTGCTCGAGCTTCCCTGGGTGCAGTCAGTCAGCCCACCCTCGCCCTGCAGTTCCAGCGGCTGCCCTGTGAACGCGCCCGGCCTGCCTGCCTCGCGCCCAGTAGCTCATTAGGCCTGTTCCCGGGCCCCCGACAGCTTCTGTCTCCGACCGCGCTCTTCGCTTGCGGACGCGACCGAAAAGAAAATCCCCGCCTCACCATCCAAAAACAGTCATGCCAGCATGCCCCCCCCCCCCCCCCCCCCACAGCACCCCCTCGAATGCCCCCCAAATCGCCTCTTGTAGCTTTCTTGGAGCGTTCTTGAGCGCTCTTGTGGACGTTTTGGGGCCGTATTGGGTCCTTGTTGGTTCTTTTTTCGGTAATATTCGAGCCATCCTGTGGCCCCAAAAACCGATCGGACGAGAATCGGCGGAAATGTGATCACACAGCTATTGTCTTCTAGGTGTTGGAAAAATGTTGGTTTCTCGGAGGAATATTCGGGAAGATCCTTGACAATTTGGAGTCGTCTTGGAACGATCTTGGAGGTTCGTGTAGGCATGTTGGAGGCCATCGTGAATCATGCTGGGCTATCTTCAGCGACCTGGGAGCCATCTTAGGTTTTGGAAACCTCTTGGCGCCATCTTGACCATCTGGCACATTCAAACCGCTAGAGGAAGCCCCCATCCAGACCAAGGGGGGGAGGGGAGCGGGAACCAGATCCTTCAACCTCTCACGCCACGAGAACTGGTGGAAGGTTGCGTTCTTTCGTCCACTAAATCTAGTCTAGTCCTCGCAGTGGCGAAACCGACCACGGGCACGGCGCCGTGCCCAACGTACCCACCATGATCAAGGTACTGAGCGGCAAGGCCATCGTGCAGGTCGCTTGCGGTGTGACCCACAGCATAGCCCTCTCGGACTACAGGCGAGCCTATGAGCAGCAGGGAGGGGAAGAGGAAGAGGAGGACGAGGAGGAGGGGAAGGAGGGGGAGGAGGAGGGAGAGGAGGAGGAGGAGGGGAGGAGGAGGAGGTAGGGGGGGAGGAGGCCTCAAATGTTTCAGACTGTTTCAAGGGGGGGGAGCTGGCCTCCGGGATTTTTGGGAGGCGCGCGGAGGGTGTTCTGACGGGTTGGAGCTGGACGCGGCTGGACCCTCTTCTTACCAGGAGGACTTGATGGGCTTGATGGGGGCTCCTGGGGCAGGGGTCGGAGGTATTGGAACGCGTCTGGACGCTTTAGGCGGCGGCCCGGACCGACGGCCGCGCCCCCATTGCTGTGCAATGTGTCGGTCGGCGGAGTCGGAGGGGCCCGCCCCAGGGTTGTCCACGGCTGCCGACGCGGCGGAGACGGCGCGGGCAACACGTTCTGGCGGGGGCCCGTTTCGGTACCTTGGGGCCTCGAGAGCACAGATTCGGTGCGGGTCGACATGCGTTCGAGACATGGGGTCGACAGCGACAGCCTACGGGGCTCTCTGGAGCGGGTGTCGTTCAAGGTTGAGCGGTTCGCACGGTGTCCAAAAGTCTGGATTCCCATCATCAGGGCAAAACATTGCCGCGGGCGGCTCCCTGACGCGCGTGGGATGACCGCAGAGCCGGTGCGCCTCCAGGCCCCGAGTGGCCGCTGCAAGCAGGACCCCAGTGCGCGCGACGGGATCGCCAGACGTCAAACCGATGTCTGCGTCGAGGGCGTGGTGCCTTCCTCCACGCTGCCCTCGCGGGCCTCGCAGCGGCCGCAGGAGACGTTTGGCGCATCCGTTGCCTCGTACCTCGGGCGCTGCGGCGCGAGGCTGTCGCCGCGGCTCGAGGGCGCGCACACTCGCAGTTGCTAGTCCACCTCGCGGCCATGGGCGGCGGCCGTCTCCCGTCACGCCTGACGGCGGCGCGCGCGTGGGCCAGCGCCACGGCTAGGCCGTGCGGCGCGCTTGCAGGGAGCCAGGGCCCCTCCCACTGGCTGTCCAACGCAGGTGCGCGCCGCCTGCTGCGGCCGAGATGAGCGGGGCACCTGGGGTGCAGCGCAAGACGCCTTCCCGCGGCAGAGGCTCCCAGCGCCCCTGCCCCCCTGTTGGAATAGACGACATGATTCCTCACAGGCCCGCGCGGATTTCTTGGATCGGCGCTACGGCCCCCTGGCGGCGCCCCCCAGGGCGCGCCCCGCGCGCCGGTGAGGGGGGTCTGGCCCCCATCCAAGAAACCCGCTGGAATCCCGAACGTTTACTGTTATTGCTTTTCTCTGGTGGCCGCCCGGCGGAGCCGTCGGCCTGCCGCGGTGCAGAGCGGGGCGCCTCGGCCGCCTGGCCGCGGCCACCTGGCCCCGGTACCGGTTCCCAGCGCCCTTGCCAAGGCTCATTTCGACTCCTCCGATTCGATTCGATTTGATTTCCATGGGTTCCGATTCCGGTTCGATTCGATTTGTAAGTCCGATTTGAAGTTCGAGTTCGCAATGGGGGCCTTCCTGGCCTGCCGAATTCCGCCGATTCGACTACTCCCGACTTGGTTACTGATTTCCGCCGATCCCATTCCTTCCGATGGCCGATCCGATTTATCGATTCGATTCTGGGCTCTCCTGTCGGCGCGTGGGTCATCCTCTTCGCCTTGGGCCAGCGCTGTGCGCCGCCGCCGTCCACCGCCGCTGGGCGGCGCTCCGCTCCTGCGCCGGCGCGGTGTCCTCATCAGGGCACAGACGCTCGGGAACAGCGAGGAGTTTCTGCCTCGAACGCCTGCCGCTGCCAGCAGGGCCTCCTTGCCGCCTTGGGCCAGCGTTATTCCCCGCCGCGGCCGTTCCTGTGGGGAGGCGGGCCTCGTGCTGGGCGGATTGCCGTTTCTTGAGCTGTGTGGTGTCCACGGGGCGCAGACGCTCGTGAGCAGCGAGGAGTCTCTGCCTCGAGCGCCTGGCGCTGCCAGCACGGCAGGTTGGGCGATGGCATCGCGTCGAGTGGCCTGGGCCTTGCCGTCCCAGCGCCGTGGTCGCAGTCGAGCCGGTCGCGCATTTGCAGGCCATGACCTGGCGCTCTTCCAGTACGCGCTCGCGTCAGCCGTCTGACGATGCTGTCAGCCAGCTTCTCCCGCTTCACGCCTCGGTGCCAGCGCGCCGTTGGGGCAATGGCAAAGCCCATGGCCAGGATTCGTAGGTGGGATATGGAACGGCCTTGATCCGAAAGCTACGGACGGAACGGGGATGGTGATGAGGATTTCATGATAGTGTTGATTATGTGGATGCGGATGTGGTTGTGGATGTTGTTGTTGATGGTGATGATGTGGATGGTCTACTAAGGTGGTGGTCATGATGATGATGCTGATGATGATGCTTATGATGAAGATGAGGAGGAGGACGCGGAGCAAGTTGTGAGTGGGAGGCAGTTTGCTTTGGTAGGTTGTGTGGTTTCCAATGAATCCTGGGGAGTTCGAGGACCAGGAGGACCCTGTTCCTTCTCGCCCTGGCGATGAAGAGCACGTCGTTCATCCCCTTCTCACCCCTCGCTTCTCCTTCCCATCCTCAAGCTCCTGGTCCTACTTCTAGGAGTTGCACTCCTCACACCTTCCCCCAATCGGCTCCCTCATCGTGTTCGAGAATCCCAATCCCCAGGCATTGGGTGAGAAGGCATAGGTTTGCCGAGGAGGGAGGTTGAAACCCTCCCGCCTTCTTCCCTTCTCCTCCCTTGTCCTTTCTTCTTCGCGCGCACTCGTCCTCCTCATCCTTCATCCATCCATCCTTCCTCTTCTACTATCCTCCGCCCTCTTTTCGTTCCTTCTCCTCCTCGCCATGGCCTCTCTTGCCCTCATGCTCCCAATCAACATTCTCCATTTCCTTATTTTCCTCTGCCTCCATGTCCTCACCAACTCCTCGTCGCCGTCCTCCTCCCGCATCAGAGAGTGCACTGCAGACTCGTTTAAATTTGAGAAGGCGTCCGAAACCGTATCCCCTGCGCACACGCGCACATTCTTTCATCCGACGCTCTGTGAGATCCAGCCAGCATCTCCCACACTGTCCACACACAAAGCACTACATTCACACACAGACATACACAGACACACACACACACACGCTATACCACCACACCACACACGCATGCACGCACACGCACACACAAACACTCACACACGCAGACACACACACACACACACCACAGGCCGTTCAATACGTGGGTGGTCTCCGGCCATTTCCGAAATTAGTCCAAAACCTCGGGAGGTGTGCCAATTATCCTGGCGAAGGACCCAACCATATGCAATTGTGAATACTGCAATTGTGAATATCTTCTCGGTGGAGCCCCCTACGGGGCCACGAAACGTACGAGGGGTGTGCCGAAATGGGTGTGCGGGACGCATGCGGGCACACCCACTGGGGCCTTCGGTGGAGCTCTCGATGGGGCCAAGAAACGTGCGAGGGGTGTGCCGAAATGGGTGTGCGGGACGCATGCGGGCACACCCACTGGGACCTTCGGCGGAGCTCCCTATGGGGCCACGAAACGTGTGAGGGGTGTGCCGAAATGGGTGTGGCTGACGCATGCGGGCGCGGGCACTGGGGCCTTCGGTGGAGCTCCCTATGGAGCCACGAAACGTGTGAGGGGTGTGCCGAAATGGGTGTGGCTGACGCATGCGGGCGCGGGCACTGGGGCCTTCGGTGGAGCTCCCTATGGAGCCACGAAACGTGTGAGGGGTGTGCCGAAATGGGTGTGGGTGACGCATGCGGGCGCGGGCACTGGGGCCTTCGGTGGAGCTCCCTATGGAGCCACGAAACGTGTGAGGGGTGTGCCGAAATGGGTGTGGGTGACGCATGCGGGCGCGGGCACTGGGGCCTTCGGTGGAGCTCCCTATGGAGCCACGAAACGTGTGAGGGGTGTGCCGAAATGGGTGTGGGTGACGCATGCGGGCGCGGGCACTGGGGCCTTCGGTGGAGCTCCCTATGGAGCCACGAAACGTGTGAGGGGTGTGCCGAAATGGGTGTGGGTGACGCATGCGGGCGCGGGCACTGGGGCCTTCGGTGGAGCTCCCTATGGAGCCACGAAACGTGTGAGGGGTGTGCCGAAATGGGTGTGGGTGACGCATGCGGCCGCGGGCACTGGGGCCTTCGGTGGAGCTCCCTATGGAGCCACGAAACGTGTGAGGGGTGTGCCGAAATGGGTGTGGGTGACGCATGCGGGCGCGGGCACTGGGGCCTTCGGTGGAGCTCCCTATGGAGCCACGAAACGTGTGAGGGGTGTGCCGAAATGGGTGTGGGTGACGCATGCGGGCGCGGGCACTGGGGCCTTCGGTGGAGCTCCCTATGGAGCCACGAAACGTGTGAGGGGTGTGCCGAAATGGGTGTGGGTGACGCATGCGGGCGCGGGCACTGGGGCCTTCGGTGGAGCTCCCTATGGAGCCACGAAACGTGTGAGGGGTGTGCCGAAATGGGTGTGGGTGACGCATGCGGGCGCGGGCACTGGGGCCTTCGGTGGAGCTCCCTATGGAGCCACGAAACGTGTGAGGGGTGTGCCGAAATGGGTGTGGGTGACGCATGCGGGCGCGGGCACTGGGGCCTTCGGTGGAGCTCCCTATGGAGCCACGAAACGTGTGAGGGGTGTGCCGAAATGGGTGTGGGTGACGCATGCGGGCGCGGGCACTGGGGCCTTCGGTGGAGCTCCCTATGGAGCCACGAAACGTGTGAGGGGTGTGCCGAAATGGGTGTGGGTGACGCATGCGGCCGCGGGCACTGGGGCCTTCGGTGGAGCTCCCTATGGAGCCACGAAACGTGTGAGGGGTGTGCCGAAATGGGTGTGGGTGACGCATGCGGGCGCGGGCACTGGGGCCTTCGGTGGAGCTCCTATGGGGCTACGAAACGCTGTACTGGGTGGGTGAAACGCAGGGAAGAGGGGGAGGAGGGAGGGGGCAGCGGGAGGAGGGAACGCGGGGCACCGTCTCTTCAAAACGAGGACCCAACACCACAGGATGGTTGGGAAAAACATCCGGAGCCCGCTGACACTCACCAACAACTAGTGGAATGCCTCCGCCCCACCCCCGAAAGCACTCCCAAACCTCCGAACACTGTCCCGTCCGGAACTCCTTGACAACGACGTTGGCGGCGTCGTCGGTGCTGTCTGGGTCGCAATCAGACTCCGCTTGCTGCCAGGCGGCTCACCGGCAAGGCTGCCCTAGCGGCGGTGCGGTCCATGGGCGCCGCCAATGCGGCGAAGGAGAGTGTCCGCCGAGTGCCCGCGAGTGCCCGCAAAGCCTCCTCCGACCACATCCTCCTCCTTGTCTTCCTGCTCGTGCTCTTGCTCACATGCCACCTCCTCCTATGTACGCAGTTCATTCTCTCCGATTTCGCACAACATGATGGGGTCTTTCTGTATGAGTTCCAGGTCGGCTAAGACAAGCAGCTGGCGATTACTGGCGATTAAGAACAAACCGCACCATGGGAAGGGATGGGAGGGAGGGATAGGATGTCAGATGTTGCGCGAGCGCACCTAGCTTGGCCCACCCCTTCGTCCCCCTGTCTTTGCTTCCAGCGTCCCGTCTTTGTTTATTTTTTGGATTTCCACATCAAGAAACCTTGCCTGCTGTTCATATGTTCATGCTGCAGCTGTTGCCAGCAAACACCATTGATTCCTTATCTCTCCTTGGGCTGAGGCTACGGCCTTCTACGCCCTCCCCCGGATTGGGTTCCTTGGCAGCGATTTGCGCAGCACCATCGCAGGTAAAGACGGCAAACGTCGAAAGGCAATGAATCTGAAGGAGGTCGCGCGCGCGCCAGGAGGGCTCTAGCAGGCGAGGAGAAGCGGCCTCCATGGGGCACACTTTAGAGGCTGCATCACCCAAGCCACGCGAAGAAGCGCTCCGGCGGGGAGTGACCCAATCATACCCCGAGGATAACTCCTCCTCCCGAAGAAGCAAACTGCATAACACAAACTTACGCTTTGGGATCTCCGCGCGGATTCCTTGTATCTGCGTTGGACCCCACTCCTTGACGCGCGGAGCGTGCCAGTGGCGGCGCTGGAGGCGCCGACATGGGGGGCCCAGTGCTGATCCAAGAAATCCGCGCGGAGCTCCAACAGTTTTTGGTTATGCAGTTCGTTGTTTCTTACTCTCTAGCTTAAAGGGGCCGGGCAGTGTAACACGCCCCGGGCGGTTCCCCCAGTCCCCGCCCAGCGGTTCCCCCAGTCCCCTGGGAGCTTTAGCCTTAGCTTTAGCTTTAGCTTAGCTTTAGCTTTAGCTTTAGCTTATCTTCAGCTTAGTGTTAGTTTAGATGTAGCTTAGCTTTAGCTTCAGCTTAGCTTCAGCTTAACTTCAGCTTAGCTTTAGCTTAGATTTAGCTTAGCTGTAGCTTAGCTTCAGATTAGTGTTCGTTTAGACTTAGCTTAGTGTTAGCTTAGCTTAGCTTTAGCTTCGCTTTAGCTTAGCTTTAGCTTAGCTTTAGCTCAGCTTTAGCTTAGCTTTAGCTTAGCTTTAGCTTAGCGTTAGCTTAGCTTTAGCTTAGGTTTAGCTTAGCTTCAGTTTAGCTTCAGCTTAGCTGTAGCTTAGCTTCAGCTTAGCTTTAGCTTAGCCTTAGCTTAGCTGTAGCTTAGCTTTAGCTTAGCTTCAGCTTAGCTTTAGCTTAGCTTTAGCTTAGCTTTAGCTTAGCTTTAGCTTATAGTTAGTTTTAGCTTTAGCTTAGCTTTCGCTTAGCTTTAGCTCAGATTTAGCTTAGGTTCAGCTTAGCTTTAGCTTAGCTTTAGTTTAGTGTTATCTTAGCATTAGCTTAGCTTTAGCTTAGCTATAGCTTTAGCTTAGCTTTAGCTCAGCTTTAGCGTAGCTTCAGCTTAGAATTAGCTTAGCTTTAGCTTAGCTGTAGCTTAGCTTCAGCTTAGTTTTAGCTTAGCTTTAGCTTAGTGTTAGCTTAGCTTTAGCTTAGCTTCAGCTTAGCTTTAGCTTAGCTTTCGCTTAGCTTCAGCTTATATGTAGCTTAGCTTTAGCTTAGCTTTAGCTTAGCCTTAGCTTAGCTTTAGCTTAGCTTTCGCTTAGCTTTAGCTCAGCTTTAGCTTAGCTTTAGCTTAGCTTCAGCTCAGCTTCAGCTTAGCTTTAGCTTAGCTTTAGCTTAGCGTTAGCTTAGCTTTAGCTTAGCCTTAGCTTAGCTTTAGCTCAGCTTTCGCTTAGCTTCAGCTTAGCTTTAGATTAGCTTTATCTTAGCTTCAGCTTAGCTTTAGCTTAGCTGTAGCTTATCTTTAGCTTTAGCTCTAGCTTAGCTTTAGCTTAGCTTTAGCTTAACTTTAGCTTAGCTTTAGCTTAGCTTTATCTTAGCTTCAGCTGAGCTTTAAATTAGTGTTAGCTTAGCCTTAGCTTATCTGTAGCTTAGCTTTATCTTAGCTTCAGCTTAGCTTTAGCTTAGCTTTAGCTTAGCTTTAGCTTAGCTTTAGCTTAGCTTTACTGTTACTACTAATGCTGCTTTCCTAGGGGCTCCAACTCCCAGGTAGGGTCGCACTGGGATAATCTTCTCCCCTATGCGCTTCGCAGACAGTGCCCCGATCGTGCGTGCTTTTCTTCATCGACTCACGTGCAGCGGCCTCTCTTCTGTATCGGTTATCCGCCGCTTGTCTAAGCAAACGGTGCTGGATGTACACGGGCCGTTGCGCCTCCTCCAAGGGCAGAGCCCGAGCAGGAGGTCCAGTTTCGAGGGGGCTGGGGTCCACCTCCAAGAGGGAGGAGCACCGGCAGCAAGGAGGCCCCAACCCCGCCAACCCAATCGCGCCCGCCGTCCGCGGGCGACGAGACCTAATTCCGCAGCGTCACCACCACCAGGCAAAACATGAAGTATGTGGCGGTGGATGGGGGGCGACGACGGGCGACGGGGGGAGGGGCAACAGGGGAGCCGGCAGTGCCGTGGTCACCACATGTTCGGCAGCGCCACTGCTCGCCGACACGAAACACCGCATGCCTCAGGTTCTCACACTCAGGAAAGCGCTCAGACCCAGGGTCCACAGCCACGGGATTAGGCGGTCTTTGGACTTCCTCGTTCGTTCGGCCCAGGGTCACCAAACTGAGAAATCCGCTCCGCGGCATCCAACGCCACCAGCACGGCACGAGGCCGGTGCACATTGAACGAATTTCCGTGGGCGTTGAACCAAGCTTCATTGGCAAGACGTTGCACAGGCGACCGCAAACAATTTCGGGTGGTTCTCTGCTTGAACATGGCTTTGAGGGACAATTGTGACTTGGCCCATCTGCTGCGATCACGGCAATGCCATTCTCCGAGCTCAGCGCTGTGCCAGATCAAGTGGTTAGTGACTGTGAGGAGCGGGACGAGGGAATCCACCTGGTCACCAGTCCACAGTTGGCTCTGCAACATTCTCTGTGCCGCCCAACGCAATCCAACACATCAGCCCAAGCTTTCGAGAAGCCCTCAGAACTAAAACAGTGCGAGGCGGAACCGAAACTGGTGAAACCATCTGCCCAGAAGCTTCCATGCGAACGCTCCAAGGAAACACCGCGCTCGATGGCCTCACTGATGGTCAGGTGGGCGGGCAACAAAAACAAATTTGGGGGAGCGCTCCCTTCGTCATGCCGGAGCAGATCAGTCCAGATCGCGGCATGCTTCGCCTTGCCCAGAGTGCGTTAAAGGTCCCAAGAATTCCTTTCTCGCACCGTCCAAGTCAGAAATTACTGTGGCAGTGTCAGGGGCATGCCAGAGGGCCTGCCTCACAGGCAATCGTTCGGCGTAGCAAACGGTTTGGCGGCCCCCTGGTAACGCACCGCACGCCGCTCGAATGAGCAGCAGAAAGGCGAGCTGAACGACGGCACATCCAGCTCGTGAAAGTTCAGGCATGCTGGACTGAAGACAATTCCCGTTCACGAAACTCTCAGGCCCCCAGGTAGCAGAGACGATGCCGCACTCGAAGACCTCAGGATGGGCCTCAGGGGATGGAACGTCAACAGACATACTAGCTACCCCACACGGTAGATGATGTGTGTCAATTTTCGGCACGTCAACAATGTCAAGCGAGGAGTTTCTCAGGGTTTCACGGTGGCCCAGAAAGGCAGCAGGCACAGGCTAATTCAGAACGCCCACGTCTCCGTCGTTGATGTCAGTCTCATCGCAGAACCGCATGGGCCAATCGGAACCCACGGAGGCCTCGCAAGCTCTGCAGTACGGGTCGATGTCGTAGTGTGCCGCTCTTGTTGCAGGAAGAGGAATCGCGTGAGCCCAGACCGAATAAAGATCAGCCAATAGTCCAGGACATATACCGACCTGAGCCCACCACGAAAGGTTCGATGCTCGACCTCCTGCTCTCCCACAGACGTCCCCATATGCAGGAACGCATCGTGCCACCTTTGGATGCCTTGGATGATGTCGAGCCTGACGTCAGCAGGAAATGAAGTGATAAGGTTTATGCGATGTCCCAGATCGATTGTAAGGATATGCGCGGCCTCTATGTCCCATCCAATTCTTCTGAGCGATAACCAACAGGGCGACATGGTTCATTTGACAAACTGCCACGTCGAGTTGTCTTGCACGCGCTGCTGCAAGATGGCCCGGGCCCCCTGGGCGTTCCCCAATTTGATCCTGCCATCCCAGATTCAGGACGCATACTCGATGGGAACTCTGAGCGTACAGTCGTAGATGGGTTCGTACAGTGGGTCGCGTTGCGCAAGCAGATCGGAGGTCACACCTTCATGCTTCTTGCCTCCTGGCAGAGCTGCCGCCATGCCGCGAACATATCTGAGCGCCACGTCCGAAACTTTAGCCACAGGGCCACAATGACCGGCAGCAGGTAAAGCACCAGCGTGCCATTGCGCCACAACGAAGACTATTTGCGCCCGCCATGCACTTACGCTTTCTGGTTACCATGTCTTTCAGTCTGGTCTTCTCCTGCAGCCTGACCACCTTTGGCCCGTGTCTGAAATTCCTCATCCATGGCCGAACCTTCCAACCCAACCGACTCACCCCTGGCCTGAACAATCTCGTCCTTTTGCCGACGCCGCAATCATGCCAGACTTCTGGGCCTGCTTCCACAGCCCTGCTACTGCCACGTCAGAGGAGAATACTCGTAATGTCCTGGCGAGCTGCGGCGGCGCATGGGGTGACACCGATAGAAGTTGCAAAGACGCATCGCCAACATAGCATGAGCGCCCGGTACGTGACCCAACATAGCATGACTGTCGCGTGATTCCATCTTGTGAACATACCCTGCGCGGACTCAAAGGTTCGGAGAGTCAACCGAAGGCCTTGAGTCCGAGGTTGCCTATAGAGGTCAGTGATCATCCAAACTAATCTCGGATAAGCATCCATAGCGACAGGTTCCTTGATGAGCTGAGCTGGTTTGATCATCTCAAAGCCCCTGGCCATGTCAAGCACGTGATGGGCTTCTTCACATTGCCGCACACGCGGCAGAGGCTTTGTATTCCAGCGGTAACTGTCCAACTCCTCCCAGTTTGCCCAGGCGAACCATCTTCGTCCAAACCTTGTCGCTTTGGCAAGCCAGTCGAGACCTAGAGGTTTCAACAAACACGCGAGACCTCCTGAACAGTGCCGGGAGATGAGGAGTAGGATGTGGAGGAGAAGGAGAGGTAGGAGGAGGAGGCTGACAGGCTGGGGGATTGTGGAGCCCATTTGTGGTCCAGAGGCATGCGGCACTGCCGATGCTCTTGACCATGATCCTGCTTTTCTCTCCCTCTCCCATTATCTTTTTGTGTTATCACCTTCCGAAGCTACGCGATTTCCTTCCCATCTCCTTCAAACTTACTCTTACTCTGCATTGCTTTGCACTGCTCTGCATTGCTTTGCGCCTCCGTTGCCGCTCGTCTCCGTCGCCCCGCTGCACCTCCCCCCGGTGCATTGCAATCGCGTTGCGTTGCGTTCGCATTGCATTGCAATCACATTGCTGTGCATTGCGTTTTGGCTGCATGTATTTAGAGTGGTTTGCGATGGATGCCTTGCGGTGCGTCTCATTGTTTTGCATTGCGATGCTTTGCGTTGCGGTGCGCTGGCTTGTATTACGTTGCGGTGCATTTAGTTGCGTTGGTTTGTCTTGTTGTGTATCGCACTGGCGTTGGCTTACATCACATTGTGTTGCATTGCCTTGCACTACATTGCGTCACATTGCGTTGCTTTTCATTCATTGTGTTGCATTCGTTGGTATTTATGTGTACTGAGGTGCACTGCTTTGCATTGCATTGCTTTGAAGTGGCCTGCGCCACATACATGCACCATATAGAGAACCACGTAGACCGCACAGCATGGACTCAAGAACTCATTGTTTGAGGTCCACACTGGTTGTTTGTTCAATGTGTCCTGCCTGGTTATGTTTTTTGCTTTCTTTGTTCTTTCCATGCCATACGTACGCAGGTGTCTCGTTGACGCGCCTCGTGTGCTCCCATTTTCACCCGACCCGGCAGTGGGCCCGTCAGGGTCATGGCGACGCGAGATAGAGGGGTCTTAGCAGGAGGGTAAGAGCGAGCGAGCTTGCTCCGTCCACCTCTTCTTGGCCAGAGCCCTGCCTCCATGTCCATGCGTATTCTTAGGGCTTTCTCGGGCGAGATCGCTTGCTTGCTCTTTGGCTTCCCGAATGCCTATTCTGGAGGTTCTGATGTGGTATTGGTTTAGTGGATTATGAGGGTTGGTTCTGGTTGCCCACGCATTTACGTTTTACTTCAAACAGAAAGAGAACGGAAGCGGAGGTCGACCAGGGAACATGGTTTGGACGGGTTTTGAAGGTTCGACTTGTGTCCTGAGGTTGAACGAAAACAGCCCAGGCTATCCGACCAGAGGGAGGACGGAGGAGAATGAGGAGGACGAGGAGGTGATGCATAGCAGAAGGGGGGGGTGAGGCTTCGGGGGGCTCCGGCGATTTCCATATTGTTATCAGGGCCTCGTCCGGCCAACCACCCATTCTCCCTCTCGTTCTATCTTTCTCTCTCTTTCTCTCCTCCTGTCTCTCTCTTTCTCGCCCTCTCTCTCTCTCTCTTTTTCCCGTCTTTCTGCTTCTCTCTCTGTCTCTCCCTCTCCCCCTTTACCTTATTCTCACTGCTTTCCTGCCCCTGTCCCCCTCGCTCCTCGCCGTAATTGTCGTCGGCAGTCGACAGACTCCCTGTCCTTGCCCTCGTCATCATAGTCGCCGTGACGGCGCCGTCGTCGCCCCCGCATCTAATTCGCAACGTTGCCATCGTCGTAGTCGCTGTCACCCTTGCCGCCGTCGTCGTTGGCGCCCTCGCCATCACCCTCGCCGCCGTCGTCATGAGGGCCGTCGCCCTCATGGTTCGGGGAACAACCAGTGACACACGTAAACATAAACTTTCGACGGTCCGCGCGGATTGTTGTTGGACCGGCGCTGGGGCCCCCTGGTGGCACCTCCGGCGCCGCTCCTGGCGCTTTTGCGCGCCAGCGAGAGGGGCCCAGTGCCGATCCAAGAAAGCCGCGCGGAGCTCCGAAAGTTTCTGCTTCTGCCATGTGTTCTTCCTCTGGTTGTCGCCGTGGTCGTCGTCGTCGTTGTCGTCGGCGGCAGCGAAGCGAAAAGGAGAGGGTCCCGGCGCCGGGCGCCAAGCTGGACCGTCTGGAGGAGGCGGGGCCGGACGCGAAGAAGCCGGAGCGGTTCTTGGACGGCTCCGGCGAGGGCGCGCTCGGGCTCCTGTCGGGGGACGAGCGCTCCCAGGCCGCCATCGCCGCCGTCACTCACAGGAGGAAAAGGTGCCGATACCGCTGCCCTTCTCTCGTTTCGCCTTTTTGGGTCTCCCGGGAGGCCCTCGTCGCCACCGCTGGATTCGCCTCGGAATGCTGGTCAGAACGGTCCACAGGAGAGGTCCGGGGATCAGCGGCATCGGTACTTTTCGACCTCGGCAGTCGACTCGTTATAGGCGGCTTTTAGGTCGTCGTCGCCGAATTCGTCGCCGCCGCTCTTCGCCGTTGCCATCGCTGTTGGAGTCGGAGTCGCCGCCGTCGGATTCATTGTCGCTGTTCTTCAGAGGAGAAGGGTAGGAGATGAGGGAGGAGGAGAAGGGAGGCGCAGTCGCAGTGGTAGGATGAGGGGGATGGGAGGAGGAGGCAGGATGAGGAGGAGGAGGAGGAGGATAAGGGCAGGAGGGACCGAAGAGGTCCATTTTTTTGGGACACATTTGTAGCCTCCGGAGACTTCGGGGACTTCCCAACATTCCCTTTTGCATGCAAAGCGCGCTACGGCTTATGGCCGAATGCGCCCCCTTTGATTGATGGGAAGGGGTCCGACAACAGTGGAGAGTTCACGCGCGGTCGTCCAGGAGTTTGTGTTTGTGCAATGTTTGATTCCCTGGCTTTACGAGGTTTCTGAAGGGCTTGGGGGCTCCTACGGCGTGCTGCGAAGGTTTTTCCAGGGAATCTGGGGGTGCCTGGGGTGCTCACGTGTGACCGACGTGCGTCGGCGTCGTTGAAGTCGCTCGTCGTCGTCGTCGTCTCCGCGCTTCATCTTCGACGACGCCGATGTGCGCCGGACTCGTCACCGCCTGCTCACTGTCGGGGCCCGCGGGCAACGAGCGCGGCTAGGTCGCGTCGTTGTCGTCGTCGCTGGTGGCGTCGTCGGCGTAGCTGTTGTCTCCGCGTCCTGGGCGACGCGCGCGCCCAGATCGATAGGAGAAGGAGGAGAAGGAGGAGAAGGAGGACGAGGAGGAGCGAGAAGTAGGAGCATGAGAGAAGTTGTAAGAGCTGCGCAGTGGGGAACGGACAACGGCCACGAGGGGGAGGATCATGTTGAGCAGGAGATCGTAGGAGACCGCGTTCCAGCGCAAGTTCGGGTTGGCGTGCCGTGCCTTTTTTCTCCATCGGTGCCAGGGGCGCGCGGTCGGCGCGATGCTGTCCGAGCGGCTGGACTCGTCGGAGGGTGGCCAGGAGACGGGGCAGTGCCTTCTCCCTCCCCCCGTCCCTGCCCCTCCTGCCCAATCCCCCTTCTCCTTCCTCCTCCCTTCCTTCTCTCCTTCCCTCCGTCCCTCCCTTTCACCCTCTTGCTCCCGTCCTTCTCCCTCGACGCTCTCCCTTCTGAACGATTCCTCCTTCCTATCGCACCCCAGGACGCGTCGGTAGACTGAGCGAGACGCTTCGCCTGCGACGTCCTCTCCATAGGTCGTGTTCAACATGTAGTTGTCGCCGAGCACCGCGCACATTCGTCTTACAAAATCTGCAGCAGTGCAAGAACGGATGTCAGTTTTCTTTCAATATGTGGCTCTGGCCTTAGCGCCGCGCGCATTCGTCTGAAACGTTGGCAGCAGTTCCAGGGAATCGTAGGGTTGAAGTCACAGAACTAGTGTTTTGGAACGGTGCGGGAAGTTCGCGGTGTTCAATTCACATGTAAAAATTATGGCTCGGTTCAGGAAGGTCATGACGCAGCAGTCACGTCGATTCGCGGTGTTGAACTTCAGGGTTCGCGAGCGTTGCGGTAAGATCGAGGATTCTCACTCGGCTGTATGTCAATTCGTTGGTCCCCGCACTGATTTTTTAACGGATTCATGGGGATGGGTTTGGGAGGGAGGGCGTATTGCAACATCGTTGTCGCGTCTTGGGTTTACATTGGTCCCCTTACTCCTCCTCTTCCTCTCTCATTCCACTCTCTTCTCTTCTTTTCTCTTCTCTTTCTCTCCCTCCTCTCATCCCCCTCTTCTGCTCACGGCGAGATCCTCAGCGTGGCGGACATCCTGACGATTCGTGTATCCTCATCAGCCCCTTTAGGCACGATGCCCAGCTGAACTGCCCTGAACTATCAAAGGTTTCTTTGGGCGTCGTGGGGCATGTTGATGGCGCTTGGGATGCCTTTTAGATCTTGGCTTATGGGAGGCATCTTGAGGCCTCTTCGAGGCTGTTTGGGGGCATTGTGGGGGCCTCTGGGGAGCCTTTTGGGGCATCTTGGCATCTTCGGCCCTCGTGGGGGCTTTTCGGGCCGTATTGTCGTCATGGTGGAGGCGATGGATCGAAAAAGGGTGGGGCCCTAACTGGCCTTGCTTCCCCAGGAGGCCAGACTGGGCCCCGCACCAAATCAATGTGTTCGGCCTTCTTGCTGAGGCAATCTTGGGTGCACTTTAGGCCCGGGCAGGCTTGGGTGAGTGCTTCATAATGTACGCGCGCGGACACCTTGGAAACGTCGCCCGCGCATGCAGCTCGGGGCGCAGGGGCGGAGAGAGGGGGGGGGCGCCCCCCCCCTTCGCTGCCCGCGCCGAGGGGCTGCGAGGAAGGGGGGGCGACGGGCCGCGGTGGCCGCGCTCACCTTGCGATTTGATTTTTCTCGGGTTTCTCTGCTGTCTTTTGCGCTTCGCATCCATTTGCTTGGCGGTGGCGATGGCAGGCGAATGTGGATTGGCCGCCATAGGGAGTACGTTGCCGGTCGACGCGCGCGCTCGCTTCTGGTGTTTCGTCAGGGAGGTAGGCATCGAGGACGTCGACGACCTGGCATTTTTCTTTACCACGGTGGAGGCAGCCGCGGCCTCGGGACAGGAGGAGGCGTGGCGGCGAGCTCGGCAGCTCGCGGGGCATCCGCGAGTGGCAGCGTGGCACAGGGTGGCCCGCGAGGCGCAGTCAGCGCCGCCCGCGCGCAAGGCGGACGCTCCGCCACGCGCGCTGGCGATGGCCCTCCCTGGCTTGCGCCCGCCAAGAGGGGGGCGCGGCGTGCAGCGCGCGGCGGCGAGCGCCTCCGGCACAGAGGAGGCGGACGCCGCGCAGCGCGCCAGCGCGGCCGGGGCAGCGGTGCAGCTGTCCGCGTCCTGGGGCCCAGCGCACGGCTTGGCGCGGGGGCTCCCCGAGGGCCAGGCGCAGCGCTTGTGCGGACCCGGGTCCGCGGCGGCGAAGAGGCTGGCGCGCTTCGCGAGCGCGGGGGTCCGGGACGCGCTGCGCGTCTGGGCGAGATGGGAGGCGTGGGCCCGAGCACGGCAGCTCGAGCCCCTCTCCGCGGAGGCTGCTGGCAGCACACTGATGGTGGACGAGTTCATATGTCATATGTGCGGTGAACAAGCCTCCGGGGTGCGCGTGTGGAATCGGTTGAAGTGGCTGCAGAAGTATCTCGGTGCGCCGTTCGCGCTCGAAGACGCGATGAAGCCAGACGCGCGGCCCGCGAGCAAAGCGGGGGGAGAGTTGCGGCAAGCGACCGTGCTCGAGCCGTGCATGGTATCGTTCCTGCATCAGATACTTGCCGCACAGGCAGCGCAGCGCGGTTGGCTCGAGGTTCCCGCCGCTGCAGCGATCGCGCTGTGCCACGGGTGGCTGAGATTCCAGCATTTGTCACGGTCGTACCCGATTGAAAGGACGAGAGCGCTGGCCTGGTTCAGATGTTACCGCGGAAAGCGCGGCGGATGTTTCGATTGGTGCCTGGTGCGGACCGCGGAGCCGCGTTGCGCAGCGGATGTGCTCTGGGACGCGTGGCATAAGCGCGCAGGGGCTGCCGGCGAAGGCGCCCCCCTGCCAAGGGGCCTCGCGGCGCACGAGGATACGGGGCAGCTCTGGCGTCTCGCGCACTTCTCAAAGTTTCTGCAGTCTGAGATCGGCCTTTGTCTGAATTCACCGCTCGAGAGGAAACTGATCACGTCGTACAGCCTGAGGCGTTTCATGCCGACGTTGGCGGAAAGCGTGCAGCTTCCGTGGACAGAGCGCGTTGTTGGCGGGGGCTGGACGCCCCGCGATGGTGGCGGAAGCACCGGCGCCCCGAACATGATGCCGTTGCGATACGCTGGAACCAGACGTGAGCAGCAGGGTTTCGTCCGTCTGTACATGCACGAAGTGTTTCACGAGGCCGTGGCCAGCTTGCCAGCCCCCCTGCGATTCGAAGGGGTCAAAGCTTGGTGGGATACGCCAGCCGCGCAGGAGGTCGCAGCGGGCGCGCGGCGCCGCGCGATGCAGCTGCTGGCGGCACAGGGCGCGCCCGAGCCCGCGAAGTTTCTGCCGCCGGCGGTAAAGAAAGAGCTGGCGCGCCGGCGGTTTGGCGCGTTCACCGCGTCCAATTACGGGGAGCAGAGCGCAGCGCTGAGGCGACAGTTCCGCAGCCGGGGCCGCCGCGCTGCCCAGCCGCCGCAGCGGCCGCGGCGGGCGCAGCGCCTGCGCGGGATCGCTGGTAAACGCGCGCTAGAGGAAGGCGAGATCGGCAGCGATGAGGAAAGAGACAGCCAGTCATCCGCAGCGTTGCCCGTCGAGCGGGCAAAGCCGGCAGCGCAGCCGAGTGCCGGGGAGCTTGCGGGAGCAGCGGCGCCAGCGGTTGGAGCTGCCCCTGCGGCAGCAGCAGCGCAGGCGCAGGCAGCGCCAACGTCACCCCTTGGGGGCGATGTTGTTGCAGCAGCAGCGCAGGCGGGCGCATGCGGCGCCAGGGGCTTTGTAATTCGCGCGGAGCGTTTCTTTGCCGCGCAGGCGCAGGCAGCGTCACCGTCGCGGGCGTATGTGCAGGCAGCTGCAGCAGCAGCGCGAGCGCATGCAGCGCCAACGTCAGCCCTTGGGGGCGACGTTGTTGCAGCAGCATCAGCGCAGGCGGGCGCACGCAGCGCCAGGGGTCGTCGTGCGCGGAGCGCTTCTTTACCGCGCAGGCGCAGGCAGCGTCACCGTCGCGGGCGTATGTGCAGCCCGCTGCAGCAACAACAGCGGTGCAGGCGCACGCAGCGCCGGGGGGGAGCGTAATGTGCGCATGTGCAGCGCCGCCGTTTCGTTCAGGCGCACTCCGCGCCATCATCGGCCGTGGGAGACACGGTAGCGGGCGCCCCGCAGGCCGGCGCAAATAGCGCCCGAAGCCGCGTCATGCGAGCAAAGCGTTCGGTCGCTGTGCAGGCGCACCCAGCGCCACCGTCGCAGCCAGCCAGACTGAACCCCGCATCAGCAGCGGTCTTCTCGCCAGCGCCGTTGCATGGCGAGCGCGCGCGTCGCTTGTGCGCTTTGCCCAAGGTTTGCGACGGGGCAACGATCGGCATTCCCGCCGAGCTAGGCTGGATTGTCACGAATGAGCGTCATCACGTCGCCATTGAAGTCAGCGGCTCTCCGCATATCAGATCACGCAAGCGACGAAAGGCGGAGAAGACTTCTGTCTTAGTCAACGGGAAGCAGCTGACGAACGCGTGCGACGTCACGTTGGCTTCCCCCACGTGGGTCGGAAGATTGACCGACGGTGATCTGGTATGCCGCAGGTGCCAGAATCGCGCGGCGTTCCTGGCCCGAGCAGCCCATGAGCTGGAACATGCGGCGTGCCAGCCGTCGGCACTGGCGGCCCGGGATGCCGTGCTTGCGATAGCCGCGCGGGCGCAGGGCCGTACGCACTAGCATTGCAGCGCGGCCATGTCCGCGCGGTCGCTTTTCGCGCGTATATTGCACCAGCGCGACCCACGCGAGCGGAAATCGTAGAGTTGTCGTGCGTGCGCGGGTGCTGCATCAGCAGCCTGCGCTGGGGCCGCGCAAGCGCAGTATGAGCGCACAAGCGGTGCGGCGTGGCCATGTCCGCGCATTTTGCTGCATCAGCAGTTTGTGAGCGCATGTTGCAGCGCGCAATAACGCCAGCGCACGCCATGCGCAAGCCGTTGCTTTCAGCGCGCGAGCAGACGTGCCAGCGATCTTGAGGGCGCGAGGCGTTGCGACTTGTCCTCACGTGCGCGATGGCGCTTTCGATCGGCGGGCAGGCGTTGCAGCTGCCGTCTGTGTCGGGAGGCCGCGAGGCCGCGGAACAGCTGTTTACGCTTTTGTGCAACGCGTTCCGGTTGGACCCCAAGGTGGCCACCCACTTGGTGTCAGTCGCGGGCCTCGAGAGCATGGCTGATTTCACACACTTCTTCACGTCGGAGCAGGAAGTCGAAACCAAGGTAATCGAAAAGATCGAGGGCCTTTCTTTCCCAGGGATTCAAGCGTCGCGGCTGCGCCAGGCCTGGACCGCGGCGAGGCAG